AAGGGAGCGAATGGAATACAAGAGAGAACATATACGTCAGAATCGATATTACGACGACGACGACGATGAGTGATGGGTCGTGGTGTGTGAGAGAGAGAGAGAGAAAGAGGGGAAACAAATGATACAAAAAAAAAATAGAATCAATGGTGAAACTGGCGAGCACCGTGGTTTCCATCGAAATCCAAGACTGTAGCTCTTGGATCGTGTCGAAAGAGTGTTCCATTATTTGTGCTCGACAGTTGGAAGACTGCAGCGAGTATCAAACTTAGACTGTACCAATCTAATCAAAAAAAAAAAAAAGAAAAAAAAGAAAAAAAATTTGAACAAGCATTGACGTCGCTGCCCGCCGCTCCTGTGCGACAGTTTACGTAGACAATGAATTCGTTTTTGTGGGACGGTTGTAGGAGGGGGGATGCGAAAGAAAAAAAAATTATAGGACGTAATTACGCACGCGAGTATTAATGAAGGGTGGACGAAAATAAAGGTGTAGGTATGATGATGCGTTTTAATGAGAGGAAACGAGTGACGATTGAAAAGAAAAATAATAAAATACATACATACAAAGGCCGGCCGGGCAACGACGCAACGATACCAAATGTTATCGCAATAACGTAAATTTTATTCTATATTAAATCTAAATGCCACCTGTCGTGCCAATGTCCAATGTGTCTCTGTACCATTTATTAATGTAGAGTTTAAACGATAATGAAACGAGAAAACAAGGCGATGAAAGAAAAAAAAAATTATTAAGTAAACGAAGCGGTTAAAGTATAAACGATAAAAACAAAAATGTAAAAAAAAAGGAAGAGCAGTAGCGAGCAGGAGTTGGATAGGGGGTGGTGGAAGTATGAGGATAGAGTGGGGAAGTAGGAAAATGAAATGAAAAAAAAAATTTACGTGTTTAAATTCGAGTCGAGTCAACGGCCGTATAGAAGTCTGTATATCGGCCGGTATATATTGGCGTTACGCCTCCTTGTGATAATGAATATAATGACAGGAACGGTCGAGGCGAAGATAAACAAATAGGAAAAATAAAAAGGATTCACGAAGAGAGAAAACAAAAAATAATAGTCCGTATAGGTTGCACGGCGCATCAAAACATAATAATAATAGTTAACTCGTGTCCTGCGCATTCCGACTTTAGGGTATAAACGTGGATATGCGCGTAGTCACCATGCGGTCATATTTAAATTATTAGGAAGAAAAACGACATTTTATGAAAAAAAAATTGTATCGGTACCTGACGTACTGACGTTTCGTCAGCAAACGGTTTCTGCGCGCGCAGCTAGGTGGTCTGCGCATGCGCGTGTGCCAGTGTGCATATTAAACAAGAGATATGATTAATAGAGAGAGAGAAGGAGAGTCGAGCAACGCGAAACAAGAACAAAGAGAACCATAGAGTCACGTGACTAATTATCCATAACCAGCGCGAGATTCGAATGGAGAATTTAAATTGACAAAAGGAAATAATATAAAATAAATGTGCCCGCGCAATAATCTAAATCTTATGTGCGATAGCAGATATACATACACGTAAATCTTCTATGCCACTCGTAAAGCATCTCTAACGTACCGGAACTAAATGAACTAAACTACATAATAGATAGCACGAACCGTTAAAATATATAATTGTCTAATTGAATCTGAAACTAAGATAGCTAATCATTGTAAACGTAATAAGGTGTAATCGCAACGATAAACAAAGTGAACGGTGACTGGGACGAAGGTTCGCGAAATCTCAATGGAATGTGGTATAGTGAGTAAGAGAAGGAAAATGAGAAATATGAAGAAAAAAACAAACAAAAAAAACCAAATACCATGGCAGAAGATAATAAGGAAGTTTGATGAGAAAAAGTCAGTTAAAAGTAAATGCCGCCTATTGGAGCCGTTCTGTACATACATACATATACACACAAGCATACATATTTACATACAGGGCATATACCGGTATATATACGTACGTATACATAAAGCCGTGTATACATATGAATATATATATATATATATAAAATATATAAAGACACAATATATCTTTATATTTGTAATATAAACGAAAAGAAAGCTTTTTTGTTTTTACTTAAACGAAGATAAAATGAGTGTAAAGTTCGCTTCGATTGAATAGGTTAACTTTAGGGATAGGATGGGACATGCGAGAATTAAAGAAAGGATAAGGAAATAACAATTTGTGACACTAATTGTACATAACAATTAGTAGCCGCCATTTATATTATTATTATTATGCACCAGAGAGTGACGCGGGTGAATGTAGGCCGACCGTAAGATTTGAGGGGTTGTGATGTGTGGCGAGTTAGGGGTGAGTAAGAAACGAGAGAGGATATACAGGGGAAAAAGGGGCACGGGACAAAAGAAACATTTTTTTTCGAGAGATTAAGCTTTATTCCTTTTAACGAAGAAAATATTAAAAAAAAAAAAAGATGTACGAGACGAAAACGATAAATGCAACAAGAAGTTTAATCTAGGGGCGAACGAGAAAAAGAAAATGAAAAAAAGAAAAAAAAATCACACTGTCGCGGTAAATCCTTACTAGCATACATAACCTCTCACGAATCCGTGGACGTAGACGTTAGGACTTACGAGCATAAGTGTATCAATTAATATATAAATGTTAAGCGCTCCCGCGTTTGGTGGTCAGGAATGAGAGGCGGGGGGGATAAGGTACGCAGCCCCGTAAAAGTGAATGATAATAAAATCAGAATGACGTTTCACGAACTTGTGAACGATTGTCAGTCGATCACAGGTCCCCGGGCTGTCATTTCGATATTTTCGTGAACCTTGTCCCCGGCAACGTAACCAATACGACGTTAAATTACAATGATTTAACGCGAGCGCTATTACCACGGGGAGAATACGTGCCGAACGTAGCGCGCCGTGTCTTTAGACAACTCGAGTGGCAGTTAGAGCATACGGAGTGGGGGGGATGGAAAACAAGCACGGAAAAAGAAAGCTCTGGATGATGGATCTCGATAACGCCTAAGGATAATAATATATAAATATTAATACTCCTGAACGTGATAGCCAGATTAGGTTAGATCCGGGCACGATTAGAAATTAATAATCCGGGGTGCTCTTGGTGGTGGGGGGGGGGG